GCATCAGCTTGTACATGAATTTTTACTTTCGAAGTTTTCTTAACCCTCAACATCGTATCTTTGTGGATGGAAAAACAACACATCTGCAAGTTATCGAAGGAAATTTGGTTGAACGTTCTCACCCTTAACCTGGACATACACGAGACCTAGACAAGAAGCAATTTAACACAGCACATATCAAACTGATCTCTTTAAAGCGAGCTTCCACATAGGTTGGATTTACACTAAGAGACGTCTTTCTGAGTGTTTGGACTTCGGAAAATCCGAAGTCTAAAAATAGTGAATCTGGCGTCTCAGGCGATAAACAGTTTGACCCAAATATTGTTCAAGTCATTTTTTTGAACCGAAAAGGCGCCCTTTAAGCCAGAAGGCATGTTATTGAACCAAGAACTTTTGAAAACCGAAAAAATTTGTCACCTACATGTTATTGCAAGCAAAAATAGAAATGGTTTATTTGGCTGATTGATTTGCATTCTTTCCTCCTCAAAATCCAAATTTCTGTTCAATCGCATTATATCCATCCACCATTTTCCCATCAATAAATAAGCGAAGGACTACGTACCAGTCTTGCCACATATCAGATCGAAGTTGCCATAGTTTCATGTGTGTACTAATAGGATTCAAATAATCGCTGATGTTCACATCGGACATATCGAAGATCACTATGAATTGTACTGCACCTTTATCTGCTTTCTGTATTTTCTCTCTTTGTAAGATATACTGAAATTATTACTGAAAGCATCCACTTAGGATAAAACTTTCAACATTTGTCCTTCTTAGTGAGGCATCAGCCAGCGTGAGAATTTCAAAGCGTCACTATGGTCCATATATTATTCTTTAATTTTTACAAACGTTGACGGATCGTGACTGAATGAATGGGAACTATCATATTACTCACTAATTGAATATTCACTTTGTACCAATCAAATGAGTAATTTTCGTCAGTAATTTTTCAATATTCAAACAATTTATCAAATCAACTGATAAGGAATGATTCGTCTCACTTCGAACCTCTAACCGATCCTGTGTCTTGTTGATATATAACATCATCAAGTGTACGGCATACTTACACTACCGGAAATCGCTTATCGGTTCCGTGTCTTTTTAATTGGTTGATGTATAACATCATCAAGTGTCAGACATACACTACCGGAAATCACAGTCATGAACAACCGTACAACTCTCATCGTACTGTTGGATTTACGGAAGGCTCGCCCCCGTAAGATTCGCCCCTAGATTGTTCATATTAGGAATATTTCACATTTACCACGAATTTTTTCGCATTTACCATGGCTACATTATTCATTTGTTGATGCACATATACATGCCATTAGCACTTCAGAGCTGACGTCTTTAATAGAAGCAGTTCAAATGAATGTCGGAATTTTTAAAATGTTACTCATCTTGTGTTCACCAAGACAGATTCAAACTTACTTTCCTTGAAATCTGACACTTTTCCGATTTTTTAGCCAATTTCCCAAGAGGATTCTTAGAGTAGTAACAAATACAGATTTTCTTCACTTTCATTTGAATCGTTTTTGTTACAGAAGATGAGCCTTTCTGTTCTATCTTAATTCATATTTGCATAATCCATGATTTATCTTTTACAGTGTAAATTTTTGTATTTTGTATAGAATCTCAGCAGTTCTAGTGCAAACTGCTGCTGAATATTTGGAGAAGATGACGAAATAAGAGCGTTGTTTTGATCAAAATTACGGTCATGATTTTTGGACGAAACCTTTCTGGTTCATCTATGGCACATCTGCAGAAAATTTAGACGATTTGAATAACTTTATTCTATGGTTCAAAATTTTATGCAGAAGAACGTAAATCTGAATACCTCCAAATAATTATAAACGATTTAATTCTGAAACATAAACTGGAGCTATTTTTTCTAAATTTACGGAAGGGTACAGCATCCGTGTATGAAGTGTGCTTTGGTTCAATTTTTTCAATATATGAATTCATGTTCCTAAAGTGAAAAGCTTTAACTCTAGAAGGTTAAACACTCGTTTGATAAATGTCTTCAGCTTGTAGTTAAGAAGTGACGCAAATTGTATAAATTTAATTTCATCAATTTGTGAAGTGACTTCACCGAACTTATGCACACATCACGTTAATATCCAATCGAAATCTCAGTTCGGTCGGAATTCGACTTTTCAAGATTTCGAACTTCCGCATTCCGACCAGATTTATTCTTGAGGTTACAGATCTAGGGATCCTACCAAAATTCTTCGAATTTTACCGACCGAGCTTCGGTCGGTTACCATCACCACATGATGGTTATTCAATTAATGTACGAATGACGTTAATTCAATTACCGCGCCCGTTCACGAGAGGAACGTGACGACATGTGAAATTAGAAGGAGCGAAATGTATGATATAAACTGTTGCATGAGGTGATGGTTGGCAAGTGTTGTGGAGGGTGAAATGTTTCTTGGAAGTAAACACAATCGCGAAAGTAGATGTGGGAGGCGAATCTTCATGGTGGTAACTTCGCAAGAATGAAACTTTCGAAGACGAACTTCCTATATCTATTGCACTGTATAATTCTCATCACAACATATTGGTAATGACGACGTCGGAACATCGAACTCGAAACCGAACTATTTGTTATATGCATGTTCAGAATGAATTATGCAATCGATCCATTCATAAAATAAATTCAGATTAAAGAATGAATGGTTAAAGTGAATACCTGAAGTAATAGTTCTGAGTAACCAAAGCAATGCATCATATAGTCACTACATTTCAAAGCCTTTACGAACTGAAAGAGTATAAATCATTCAGAATAATGAATTCACCATCATTTCTGTTTCTTAAATCATTTCATACGTAACATTAAGGGAGAGAGTGTATTATATTTGCAAGTGAACTTCCTTATAATTCAACAATCCTTTTCATAAAATACGAGAATAAGCACCAATGACCAAGACAGGACAACTTTGACCGTAGATATGTTTTTTGATAAATGCAACGATCCAGTGATGATCTCATTGTTGGAAAATTGCTCAAGATTAGTCAATAGGAAAATATGAACATGTTCAATGCAAACACAAAATTTTGTACTGGATGGACAGCACCACTGCCGATTTTGTTCATATTTCACTCATTGCTCCTATCAAATCAGAGATCAAAAGCAAATTGCTAATGTTCGCATATCTATTATGCATATTATTGAAAAAATGCTAAGACTGATGTCAAGCAAAAAAGTGAATCCGAAAAAAAGCAAAAAAACCCGTTAAAAACTGAGCAACAAAAAAAAACAATTTCCAAAAAAAAAACAAATATTCCAACGCATTATAAATCATTCTCTGATTGTAGCAACAGGGAAGTATGATCCTTTAAGATCAGCGAGATATTTACATAAATGGTCTAACGTCCAGTCGTTACTTTCGAGAATTTCAATGACACAATGAATAAAGAGCAAAACATGGAATCTAGCTCAGCACTCATGAATCAAAAAATATTCAGAAGGCTCGAAACAAAAATTATGATGAAATAACGGATCAGCACTCTATTCCTACAACGCTATTCTAGTGCATTACTTGGCAAAGTTGATTGATAAAACGAGGACACATTCGCATGTAGAACTAAAACCTAATTTTAAGCAGGTTCACTCAATTGATCATGAAGGAAAAAGAGGTAAGAAGATAAAATCAGTTTACCTCTTTCGGTTGAGACCATGCCCTTTCAACGAATAGAAATGCATTATGTTGATCAGACCAAATGCGATCACCAAGACGTGATGCCGCGATAAACGGTAAATACGGTTTAATTGAAGGCATCTCAAAAAATCGCTCCATATGATCACTGACATCGAAACCAGCTGCTCTTCTTGATGCTACGTATTCGGGAAATGCCTCAAAAACACTTTGATTTATCTAGATGAATCGCTGCATTCAATCAAACAATCATTTCTCATGCAATATTCCACTGAATTCTTAATACAAAATGATATCAAAGTACGAAATATCGAAAAGTACGAATCAAACAGCCAAAAATTTGTGAATAACCGTAAATTACTTGTAAGATTCGATCGATATCATGATCGTAACCGCGTATCCAGCGATTAAGATTGAAATCTGTATTGAGATCATCTGGGATTCCTTCAGGCATTGTCTCTTGAAGACGACTTCGTAGTATCGTAATTGCGTGCCGTTCGTCCGCACTTATCGGTGATACTGCTTGTAAATTGGACTCCATCGATACTATAATTTAAATTTAAAAAAATCCAAATTAAAACCCCAATCGGAAAAAAATTCAATACGGAAACTGGCAAGTGCTTCTCGCAGGCAAAAATTTTCCTTCTCTTTTCTTTTTTTCTGTGGTCGAGAAAGATTCATAAACATTGCTTGTTTTCTTTCATTTTCCTTTTGATAAACAAGCAAGGCGATGAATGCGTTGTATGAAGTCAGCAATAGAGGAATTTGATGTGTTAACATATCAGTTTGATCCATAAAAAGAGTATTTTTGTTACCGAAAACTTTTCTCGGCGAAACAAACTCATATTGCTGGATCAATTGGTGCAGCAACTGGTCGTAAACGAGGGAATGCTTAAATGAGTCGAACCTCACATTAACATTTCAACAGTTCCGTACATCAAAATAAAAAAGACAAGCACTTATCAAACGCATCACATCAAACAAATTAATTTGCACATTCATTCAATTTCTTAACTGAATTTTCTCCATTTCATGAAATTCGTATGATCGCTCTAAAATCACAATTCTGCAGAACTCAACAAATTTTATCGAAAGATTATTTGATTCACTATTCGATACACAAAAGCACACAAATTGTTGCAATAATTCCGAAGAAATTTGCAGCGATCCTGCAATCGGCTTATAAACACATGTTTAGTGCACATTCGCATGTAGAACTAAAACCTAATTTTAAGCAGGTTCACTGTTAAATCAAAATGAAAGCGTTTGTGGCAGTGATAAGAGTGAGTTGTTTGTTATAAAGTCGTTCAGCACCATCAAACTAGCTTTAGGATATGCGTACAGAAATGATGAATTACTTGAAGCATCCTACATTGTTTAACTGGCATTGTTCATGATTCCTTAAAATGTAATAACTTAAAATGGCGTTATCATCAATTTAAGTGAATCAATAACTTAAAAGATGAAATGGCTCCAAATTGACCGAGTAAAGCGAAAAACCTCGACTAAATTCCACTGAATTCAAATCAAATGATACACAAGAATAACCCTCATTTAAATTGGAACTGATAAATCAACACATCGCAACAATGATTCGAATCAAATTCTCCCATTATTATATCCATATACAATTGAGTCAAGGCTGTTTCCACCTTGAAGTTCTTTTAATTCGCCCATCAACTGAGCGAAACCAAGAAAAAATTCACCTAAACTGAATCTGACGATAGATGCAAAACACTTGATATACCAGCATTTCCATGCCTCAGTCCACACAATCACGTCGTGTGCCAGCACGTTCAACTGAAGTGGTGCTATGACACCTCAAATTCAACGTAGAATACGGAGATGAGGTAAAATGGTCACAATGAAGTGAGTTTTGCGATATCAAAACAGGATTGACAACCGAATGTAGATGCACGCACGTTCAACAGATGATGCAAAAGATGATAAGAGCACTCGCATACGTTCAAAGCAACTGAAGAATCATTGATTTTATTGGACGAATGCATCGCTCCGAGCTGAACAAGTCGAATGTTTGAATGGATGATGCCATCCGAAGAGGTCATTCAGTCGTACGTAACTACTGGAAACAAAAAACTGATTAACATTTGGCTGATCTCAATACAAATATGACGAATTTCCGTTAAGCTGCAAATAGTTCTGGTACTGCCCCTATATAGTTTGGCTGCTTTTTTGAAAACCTATCTTCGTCAACGAAAAGATCGCTTCTGATCACATGAAACGAGAGAGAATTTGAGAAATTAAGGTATTGCTATCTTAAAGTTGTCATTGAAAATGACAAATGAATTTGGTTAAGGACATCTAAAAAAGGATATACATCTAAAAGGTTAAGGACAAACCCCTAAAAAACATTTTACGCTACATTCAAATTCAAAAAAAATTAGAGGCAGTACATCTAAAATTATTTTATTTGATATAAAATCGTTCTGTACCATCAAACTGGCTTTAAGGTTTGCGCATAAAAATGATGAATTACTTAATGCATCCAACATTCTTTCACTAGCATTGTTCATGATTCCATGAATAGTAACTTGAAATATGAAATGACGCTGCCACTTTACAATGAAACTAACCGAATAACGCAACACTTTGCAGCGGTAATTTTTGTCATGTTTCCAGTTTTTGAACAATTGGAACCTTCATACTGGCCACAAAATATTTAATATCGTAGATAAAATGATTGCCACAGGAATGCACGAGATCTCAACG